ACCCTTTGCCCTCTCCCATACCTTTGCTTTGAAGCACAGTTAACCAGTAACCGGCAGAGAGTAGCCTCAGAGCCTTGATTTGACGTCGAGGCAAGCTCTGAGCCCTCTTACCCCTCTGCCCAAGCACCTCTGGCCTGGTTCTCTCGCATATACTAGTCCCAGCCCAGCTCCATGCATCATCTGGCTCTCCCTACCCACCCTCACTAGCCTGATCCTCTCTTCCAAGAAGACCAGTCTTTGTACCAAAGCCAGAGAACATCTTTGTGATAGAAACAAATGCCCCTCTGGCCGAAAACCAGCCAACTTGCCTTCAGTGTGTGTGTAGCAAGCCAGGCGAGCCAGCCTGGCATACTAGCTGCTCTTAGTCACTGGCCTGTGGGGCTCCAAGCCCTGGCATGTGGGGACAGCCACCGCTATCACTGGGGCCAGCCAGCCCCCATACATCTGAGCTAAGGGAAGGCAGGGGGACAGGGATGAACACATCCTAGCACACTGACCGGGTACAGCACAGGCCTCCACCTGGCTGATGATGCCTGTGCCGTTCTCCTTGTCCGCTGGCCACTGGTAGATGTAGAGAGCCGTGTGCGTGGAGCCAGCATCGAACACCAGGCCATACTGCAGGGAAGCAGAAGGGACATGGAACATTAGGGAGTGCAGACTAGATCTGGGGACTCATGCTGAACTGCCCACATTGGATGGAGGAATGGCTAAGGCTAGCTTTATCTGATCACAGAATTAGGAGAGCTCCAGGAGTCCTGGTAGGCGGGGAAAACCTGACTGGCTGGGAGAAGAGCATCACCACTGCAGGGGAAAGCGCTGTGACATTGCAGCCACTAGCTATATCACAGACATATCTCCATCACAAGCCCTTTCAGCTAGCAGGGAAGGCTCCTTGGTGCTCTGTGATGAAAAGGATGCATGCGGTGTAAGGCCAGTCACAAGGAAAAACTGTGCTCATGCTCATTGGGCATGCCAGCCAAGATGGGTATTGATCCCCATCTTGGTGACAAACTGCACAGCCTGCCTGAAATTTGGGGAAGAACTGGCCTTACCAAGGGGGAGCTGGCACCAAACTGAGAGCTGGTAGCTGAGCTCCTCCCAAGGACCCTACCTTGGTGTTGGAAGGCAGAAACACATCCTTCACATTTACGACAATCAGTATGAGGGCAATGATGCTGAAGACACAGGTGGCTGCCAGGAGAACTGCCACAGCCTTGGCTTTGTGCTCCATTCCTCCTCCAACCTGCAAGAACAGCCCCAACCCCCTACTCAGCACCACTGTGTTTGCAAGGTCAGTTTTGAAATGCAAGTCTCTTAGATGGACATGGGAATTCTTAAGGTGAGGTTTCTCCCATGTCCTAACAAGGGCTTGAAGCCATTCTGCAATGCATGGCTGATGTTATGGGAGGTTCTTTGCAGTCTAGGGGCAGGGACACCCGCTCTCTCTTCTGAGTTCTCCCAACCTGGGGGATTTTCAGCTTGACATTTGCAGCTCTATCTTTTTCATTTTCAGCCCCTGTCTCACCCCTCAGGCTCCTCTCTCCACACAGCCTAGACTCCTCTGCCCTGCTTGATCTAACAGCTGGGTGGCATGGCAGTGGCTAACCTGAGTCACAGACAGGGAGCAGGATCATACACTGGCACGTCCCCAGGGGGGGCCATTCCCTCTAGGGTGCAGAGTTGCATCCCTTCAGCACTTGCACGCTGTCATCAAACCCTGCACCCTCACAAAACTTGTCCCACGAGACTTGGGACCATGAGGTCACATATGTTGCCCAGCAGTCCTATAACTGCCCTGAGAGGCTTCTCTTTGCTCCAGGTAGGGGAACAGCATCTCCTTGGCTGTGTGGCTCCTCCTGCCTTGTCCAGCTCGCCTTGGCTCTTTGTGAATACATAGCAGGTAAGCAAACACACAGATACTGTGTTCCAGCCTGCAGGTGATCTCCAAGCCCCTCCTGCAGTCCAAAGGGCAAGCTGAAAGGTGTCAGAGTCAGAAAGTCAGAACTGATGTGGGGTGCAGATGAGCCCACTAATGAAGATGGTTGTGTGCAGATAGACACAGTATTTTACATGAAAGAAGACAAGGCCAGCAGGGCGCTGAAGAGCCCTGAGCAAATGAAGTGGAGCGCTGCTCCTCCCCCTCATCTGGGTGGGAGATCAGTTCCTGGCAGAATCAGCTCTAAAGCATCAATAAGAAAGTGCAGCTGGAAGCAAAGCCAGAGGGTTTGATTCTCTGCAATAGTTTCAATATACAGCAGCTAACACATCCCCATGGGCACCTCAGGTGTGCTCTTCAACACAGGCACACCTCTTCAACCTCTTCCTCCATCACCCTGCTTCTCCCAGCCAGCATGTACCAGCAGGAAGTGCGGCTAACCTATGTCTACTGTGCTGACTTGGAACCCAGACTCTAGATGAGTGGCAGACACCTCGAGAGCCCTGGACAAAGAGTGGTTTAACCCAACCAGTGCTTTGGGCCTTGGGGCTGTCACTTGTTATACAATTCTCCTGGCAGTACATAAAAAGACAGAGGAATTCCCTTGCCTCTTAGCCAGACCAATTCAGTGGCTCTAACAGGAGGGGAAAGACATTTGGTCATGTCCTGTTTTGGAGTCAGCATCTCCAGTGATGAACAAGGGTTACCAATGCCCTGTATAACATGGGATGTATCATGATGGATAGCAGCAATTCTCTTATGTCCCACAGGGAACATGGGACTACAAGAAACCCCTGTCAAACCTTTTCCTGCGGTCAAGAGTCCTTCCCTGTATGGTAGCTATGGTGAGAAGAAATTGTATGTAGGTAGGTTATGAATTCCCATATTATCACATCTCCAGTGTGATCAGCCCTGTGAGAATCTCTGCTAGGCCTTGCTTATACTCAGGGCTTTGCAGGCAGAACCTTGCTTGCAAGAGTAGTCCAGGGTGGACACAGCTTCTCTGGCAGGAGCATGTTTGCTGGCAAGAACTTGTCTGCACTTTGCGTGAACATAAATGTATCTTTGGGAAGTGATTCCCCTGCCCCAGGTAATACTGCAGTGGAGAAAGGCCCAAGCCCAGCCCACATCCTGGAAAAATCTGTCCTGAGCACTATGTGATGGATCAGTATGGATTTTTTTTTAACCTCTGTGAGTTAACTCTGTGCGATCCTGCATGCAGAAGCAGGTGGGGAACCAGCTCTACCAGCTCCTGATATGGAAAAATTTCTATTTTGTCTCTGCAGGAGGTAATACCTGAAGGAAGCATAGGGTCCATGAGGCCCAAGGGAGGAGAGCAGGACGTAGGAAGCGAGCCCAGGGAGAGGAAAGCAAACACGGATGAGTGCAGAAAGCTGATTGAACTACCCAATGTTTAAATGGCACCTCAGGAACGGTGGGCAGTGATACCCACTCCTCTAGATGCACCCATCGCCCTTTGGGAAGCAAGTTCAGTGCATGAACAGAAAGGATAGGGTGGCAGTGGTGATACTCCCAAAGTTAAAAAAGAAATATGTTGCTGTATGGCTCTGAAAGAAGCAATCTCAGGCAGTGCAACTTTCCAGTGTGGAAAGTTCACAGCTGTGCATATTGCTTTGGTTGTTCTTGCAGCAGTTTATTGATCAGACACAATAGAGTGCTGTATAAGGACATCACTCATCTTGCAGTGTTCCTCACTAGGAGGGAGGTTGGCCTTAAAATTCATGAGATAAGGCTCGGAGGCAGTGCTGTATCTAAACTGTTTCTTAGGAAAATTGAAAGCTGGATTTCCCCACCATGCAGCTTTGAGATTTGAAATGACTCTTAAGATCAATAAGCAAATTTTCATGCTGAGGCCATGAATCTTTGCCATGCTGAGTGGTCCCCTCCTTCCCATCTCTCTCACCAGCACTTGGGCTCTGCAGTGCCACCATCCCCCTGTGCCCCAGCACCACTTGCACTTTGCGCTGGTGAATGGCCAGCATTTCAGGACACAGCTCTGCCAGGAAGTCCCAGCCATCTCCCTCTATCCTCTCCTAGCAAGGAGCCAGTGGAGCATGTTTATGCTCTGATACCCAGCTCTGCTGCTGCCGATGGGTGCTCAGCTGGGTCTCAGCCCACCCATGCACAGCCTCCTCTGAGCAGAGCCATGCTTCCAGTGAGACAACATCCCTGGGACCCTCCACTGCCCACTGCTCACCTGTGCTGCTCCCAGTGTGGGCGACGCTGTGACTAGGGCTGGACGGCCAGCTTGTGTTGGTGTCAGAGCATACCTGGGAGCGCGGAGCCCTGCTCCTGGGACAAAGGCTGCCCTGGAGTCGCCAGGATATGGCCCTCCCCTTGGCCCAGGACCAACAACCTGCCCAGGGAGGCAGCTTGTCCAGGAGCCAACAGGAAGGCTGAGGCAAGGCTCTTAGTTAGAGAACCAGCATGGAAATAGCCTCCAGGATTAACCACTTATGTGCTGGTGGGCACAACAGTCTCTCTCACCAGGCACTACCTGAGACGCTTGTGGCAGGGGGTGGTCCTGTGTCCCTGCACTGTTCTACAGCACGGAAAGGGTTCAGCATGGATGCAGCTCTCCCTGAAGTCCATGACAAGTCCCAGCCGTCACCACTACCATCTCGGAGGATCCTAGGCCTGGCAGGCAGGTTGGGTGAGGGATGAGGCTACCACCTGAGGTTTGGGAGAGAGGCTTCTGCCCCACAGACATCCCTGCCCCATATATGCTGAATAAACACACCACGGCACTGCTGCTATCGCTGAGCTCTGCTGTCACCTGCACTACCCCACTGCAGGCTGGCAGAGGGGCCCAGGGCTGAAATGGGAGAGCCCTGGCAAGCAGAGACCCATCTCCATGGCCTGGGCACCCATCTCCAGATACTGATGCAGATGCACACATGTGGGGAAGGCTAAGTCCCTGGCCTGAGCATGGCCACTGCAACTGCCGTGGAAGAGTGCTGCTCCTTCCGTTGCGCTGAGCCAGCGCAAAGTGCCCGCCCAGGACAAGCAGGCGGGGGAACCCGGACTTCCGAGCCCAGCTCAGGCTGTGCTTTCACTTTGAGTCCCTCTGTCGGGGCTGGGCTCTGGCAGGGCCCCACAGAGAGAGGGCAGCCAGGGCTGCCCCCTTCCATCCCCCATCTCCTGACCCTTCCCAGAGCTGCCCCGAGGCTGGACCTGGGCGGGAGGGGGGGATCTGCGGAGGCGAGCCCTGGGGTCTGCTCAGCTCGGTGCACCTACACCCTAGGAGGAAGAAGCGGGGCCCTCCCCAGGACAGGTATGGCAGAGGGTGTCCGAGTTTGCCTGCCAGCCCCTTCCCAGGGGCTGGGCATTCACCAGGCAGAAGGGCAGCTTCTGACCCTGCCTCTTCCAATAGTAGGGAGTTCCTGGTGTGAGCGCCTTGGGGACTCTCTTCCCAGCATCCCTCCCTGGGCCTGGAGAGAGGACAAAATCTTTCCAGCACAGTTTTAGGGGTCCTTAGTGACTGGGCTTTTTTTCCCGCTTGCAAAGAGGTAGGTTTGTGAGACTGTTCAGTGCTTGGAAGAGGGCAGGGTAGTTTCTACATTCAGAGTGACCTAGGCTCTGTGCCTCTGGCTGTAAAGTCTCCACAAGGCTACAGGATGGCACACCCTCCCCAAGACACCACTGCTGCTCTGAGCTGCTTATTCAAGGGTTAGGCAGCTCCTGAGAGCGTGAGGAAAATAGGGACACTTGAAGGAGCTGGAGACACTCGGGGAGCAGAGAGCTGGGTTGGCATTGGCCTTACATGATCTTTTCCCTTTACAGCTCAGCACAGAAATGTCAAAGTGCCTACTAAAGGGGGATGTCCGGTACCTTGTGGCCACGCTGGCACTGCTGGGAATTATCACCATCTACCTGATCCTAGCTCCAGCAAGGGACACTTTCCTTCCTCCGAGGACGAAGGTAGGTGCACAGTTGGGCCTGGAAGAGTCCTGGAACAACTTCCAGCCTTTTCCCACCTCTTCCATCCTTGTGCCAGCCCTGTTCTCCTCTCTGCTTATGAGCTTCTCTGCAACCAGCCCAGTCTGTTTTGGCCTTAACCTGAGCAAGCAGTGCTGGGTAGATCAAACCCTCCCATAAACCAGAGTACCACCTCCTTGCTAAGGACGGAGAAGAAGATAAATGATCACAGAATCACAGAATCGTTTAGGTTGGAAGGAACCTCTGGAGATCATCTAGTCCATCCTCCCTGCTCAAGCAGGGTCCTCTAGAGCATATTTCCCAGGATCACATCCAGACGGGTTTTGAATATCTCCAGGGAAGGAGACTCCACTACCTCTCTGGGCAACCTCTTCCAGTGCTCTGTCACCCTCACAGTGAAGAAGTTTTTTCTCAGGTGAGAAAGGGTGATGTGACCCTTCCCCTGGTACTGCTCCACCTTCCACCCCAGGCACCTTCTCTCTCTTTTCAGATACCCAGACCATGTGGTGGGTTTCCATCCCTGGGTCCTGCGGCTTTGTGCTGTTCTCTGTTTGTGGATTTTTGGAGACTGTTACAAAAATACCACTGTTTGTGAGATTTACCAGTCCTGAAGATCTATGAGTAGCTCTGGCAGCTTGAACCATTTAAGATGCAAATATCCCTTGGGTGCATGTGTGGTAGTCTCCTGCATGTCTTCCCTTTCCATGCTATAACTCCCTTGGTGGCTAAATCACAGGGTTCAGAAACAAAGTGAGGTTGTTGGCAGGAGGCTAGAAGTGTAATTCTGGGCATGCTGCTCTCCTCCGCACACTGGAACCGAGAACAGATGCTCTTAGACACACCCATGGCACTTCATGCAGCCTCGAGCACTCTGTGACCCGTGTCCCTTCTGCTTCCCTGCAGTATGGCCTGGTGTTCGATGCTGGCTCCACGCACACGGCTCTCTACATCTACCAGTGGCCAGCGGACAAGGAGAACGGCACAGGCATCATCAGCCAAGTGGAGGCCTGCACTGTGCCTGGTCAGTGTGCTTGGATGTGTCTGTCCCTCTCCCTCTGCCTCCCATGTCAGTGTCCCCAGCGAACTGCCAGCAGGTTTCCTCAGTGCAGAGGAAGTTCTGATGGGGCAGGCACCCAGAGAGACAGTGAAAAGGTGCTTGAAGCAAAGCAGAGCTCCGGGATTTCTGTTGATCCCTCAGAAGGCCTGAGAGTGCTTTGGGCTACTGTACTCTGTGCCTCCGAAAGTACAGTTTGTGAATTGAGACTTTTAGCCTACGCTGGGCCAGAAAGGGATGTCCTGGGTAGAAAACTCAAAGCAAGCTTTTATGGGTGAGAAGCTATGGTTTAGGGATCCCTAGGGCAATGGGGTGATCAAGGCTGCCCAGAGGTGGCTAAGAAATTAGGCCTTCAGTTAGCACAGTTTCTGGAACTGGTCCAATTTCACAGCTTCTGGTAATGCATGATCCTGCAGCCTCACATGTTAGACATAAGGAGTTTGCTCATTCTCTCCTGCAGCCACTTCTTTGGCTCTTCTTCCCGTAACATCTCTTTACAGTGTTTCTCGTAACTTAAAGTGCAGCTCCGTGTTTCCACAGGTCATCCTATAACACCTGCAAAAGCCCCTAAGGGTTGCTGTATCTCTGTTGCTAGTTTGCCTGTAGTTCCTAATTGCTCTTTGGGCCAGCAGTCATCTTTTGGGTTGTGTTTGAACAGCATCAACCACAGCAGAGCTTTGGGCTGTGCCTGGGAATTACAGACATTGCCAAGGAGGTCCAGAAAGCTCTCTGGACCTGGGAGAAGTGCTGGAAATGTCTCTCTAAACTCGCTCCCTCGTGGGAGGTCATGTTTCAGGAGCCGGCATCTCCAGCTACGCAGACAACCCTGCTCTGGCTGGAGCCAGCCTGAAGCCCTGCCTAGACAAGGCCATGATGATCGTCCCTGCAAAGGTGCAGCGGGAGACCCCCACCTACCTCGGGGCTACAGCAGGCATGCGGCTGCTGAGGTACCTGGGCAGGGCATGGCCCTGCGAGCCTGGGCACCTCTGCAGGCCCTTCCCCACCACGCGCTTCTGGTGACCATCATAGCTGATGCAAGGGGCTGGGGTGCGGGGTGCTGGGGTGTGGGGGCTGCTGCCTCATCAGGGGGAGGCCGTGCCATGGCGGTGGGCAGAGCATCCGTTTCTGCAGTCTGCCCTCAGGTTTC